CCTTATCGTCTTTTTTTGCAACAATCTTTCCTGGTTTTTCAAATCTCTGGATCCCCTCTTTCTGACTCACAGACATTTCTTTTCCTCCTCCTCTCCTCTTCTGCAGGAACCTCGTTGGAATCCTGATATTGTCTGTCAGGCTCCATCAGAGTCACTACAGTCGGAGCAGTCTCCTCCACCTTATTCTCTCTGTCTGCTCCTCACACACCTCCTGTCAGACTCTGACATCTCCCACCTGGGATTCTTCTCCCTCTCTCCCCTCTCTCCCCCTTTGCTCCCCCTCTTCTCTTCTCGGTGGTAGCTGCCTGGTGCTGTCATGGCACCATTGTCTAAATGTGAGAGGACAGACATCGTCTGCCACCATCCTGTGGCAGCAGCTTTAATTACTCCTCCCACCCTGACGATGCCTGTTCCCTCCAGCTGATGGTGCTGTGCCATGTCGACAGGGGGAGCGGGAGGGGGCACAGGGCGGTGAGAGTAAATCGGGTTTCCTGAGAATGTGGGTGTGGGGGTGAGTGAGGGTAGAGGGGGGCAGTGTTCTATCAATTGATATTGGGAATAGAACCTATTAGGGTCAGACAAGAAGGAATGAGTAGCAGGCTCTAAAGGGGGGGGCGAGGGGGGGGCAGGCCTCCTGAGAAGGGGAGGTAAGATGGAGAGATATGGGGGGAGTGGAAGGGGGAATGGAAGTGTCCCACCTCAATCTGAACTGGAATTGGTCGTCTTTAAGGTGGAATGAAAGATGAGAGAAGAAGACATGTTGGTGGGACAGAAGACAATCTGATGAAGTCCACCCCTGGAGGAGGGGGGGGGGGCAGCTGCTCTGACATCTGCATTAGGCCAGGTCTCCACACCCGCCCCACACTCACCCCCGTCATCCACCAACACCTGAGCCTTTGGAGTGAACCTGCCTAAGCAGTGGTGGCTTAGTGGTTAAGGAAGTGGACTTGGGTCCAGAAGGTTGCAGGTTTGAATCCACCAGCTGCCAATTTACCACTGAGGTGCTCTGAGCATAGCACCATCCCCACACACTGGTGATGGGTTAAATGCACACAGTGTCACAATGACATTCCTTCCTTTCCTTATCATGTGCAACAGATGCACATCAGCCCCACCTTACCTTTCCCCACTGTCTGTATATTTTCCTCTCTCCTGTACTTCCTGTGTTTCTTGTTAACTTTATGAACTCTGTACAGATGGTGAAGGTGTGACGTCCCACTTGGTGACATCAGTGCAGTGACATCATCAGGTCAGATGATGGGGCTGCTGCATTAGGACCAGTAACACCTTAGACTGTGGTTGTGATCCACATGATTGACAGGTAGTTCTTCCTCATAACCATATAAGGACATGAATATACACACATACACACACATACCTGTGGCCAGTGTCAGTGTTTGAATGTACTCACGAAGATCAGCAGGTTGAACAGGATCATCATCAGTTTAACAAATGTGAAGCAGCCCATTTTAATCTGGAATAGAGGGAGAAGAGGTGTTACAGCTGTTCATCACACACACACACATGGACACACACACACATGGACACACACACACACACACACATACAGTACTCATATTAGACATTAACGAACACAAATGGGATTTTTAGTTTTTATAGTAGACCAGCTGGTCCACTGCAGATGAAGGTTCCCTGGTCCAGACCTTTGGTTCCCAGTGGAGTACCAGTAGAGTTTTAAACTCTGGCTCCACTTCCTGCCTGTGTCATAAAGCTTCATGATTCAATCAATATTCAGAAAAGGATTTGAAAGACAAGTTTGAGACTGTTTTAGACTTTGACTAAAGTCAAAGGTTTGGTTCTAATGTTGAACTGGACCAAGTGCTACAGTCCAAACAACACCCTGGGTTTTATTTTATTTTATTATATAAGCCTTAATTTAGTGTTCAGTACCACCACAGACCTCTTGGGGGTTCTGGCTAAGCTGTTCCCCAAATGAAGGATTATGTTTTTAATGTTTTTATTTAAAAACATTATATTCTTACATTACTATATTCTATGAGAATAATTTAACTTTATTAATAATAATGATAACAGTAGTAGTAATAATAATTATTCTGTAAGTGTATTGACTTACAGACGTCTTATTTTATCTCAGAGATTTGTCGTGAAGCCGATTCTCACCTCTGACTCTCTGACTCTTCAGCCCAGTGTGAATGTCGTCGTTCTCTGTCGCTCCGTCCTCTGGTTCCTGAAGAAGAAATGACAAAGACAGAAGCTGTTCTGTCTCCGACTCACGTGTTTCCAGTCTGAGGATGAAGATGATGAAGATGATGAAGACGGACCTGTTGTTGTCGTCCTCACAGGTCAGTGTCAGGGATGTGGAAATGTAATGACTGCTCTTCCTGCTCCTGCTCCTGCTCCTGC